AATATAGACTTGGTAATGGAAATGATGCCAGAGGGTGCATGATAGAATTTTGCAAGACCAACAACTTATTCATGGCAAATGGTGAGTATACACATAAGTCTCACCAGATGGAATACACAGGAATCAAACTGACTACATCTGTGGAAAGAGGTGATGGAGAAGCTCAATATCATCAGTCAGAACAATGCTAGGAGCTAACTGTGGAACATACCATCAATTTCTCATATATAAGCTCCAGATGAAGCTGAAGAAAATTAAAACAAGTCTATGAGAGCCAAAGTATGACCTTGATAATATATCTGAATTTAGAAACCATCTAAAGAATAGATTTGATGTATTGAACCAATGACCGAAGACCAGAGAAGTTGTGGGATGACTTTAAGATCATCCAACATAAAGAAAACAAGGTCATTAAAAAGAAAGAAAGGAAGAAAAGAACTAAAATGGATTTCAGAAGAGAATCTGAAATTTGCTCTTATACATAGCATAGCTAAAGTGAATGGAAGAAATGATAAAAGAACTAAAAAGATGATTTCAAAGGGCAGCAAGAAGACAAAGTAAAGTACTAGAATAAAATGTGCAAATATCTGGAATTAGAAAACCAAAAGGGAAAAACATACTCGGCATTTCTCAAGCTGAAAAAACTGAAGGAAAAATTTAAGCTTGTAGTTGCAATATTGATGGATTGTGAGCTCTGGTGGCATAGTGCCTAAGGCATTTGACTGCTAACTAGAAGGCTGGTGGTTCAAACCCACCAGCCACTCCTCGGAAGGAAGGTTGGGCAATCTACTTCCATAGTGATACTGCCTCAGAAACCCAAGGAGGGGTCACTATGAGTCGGATCTGACTCAAGGGCAGTGAGTTTGAGTTTGAGGGCAAAATATTGAACAACACAGAAAGCATCAAAAGAAGATGGAAGAAATACACAGTCCGGAGGGTGCAGCCATTTTGAATGTTTACAAGTGGCTTGATCATTTTGGATATTTAAAGCGACAGCATACTCCCAGGTTCCAGGGACTTAAGAACAGGCTATGCTTGCTGGGTACCATAAAGACATCCCAGATGCATGGACTACTAGAAAGGTGCAACATTCCCCTTGTTACCCTTATACCCTACACACCTTTTGATTGAGGTGCAGCCATCCCTTACTCCTACCCACCTTCTAAGCTGGCAGGAATTCCATCCCAGTCTGTGTGCTCCAAAGGAGCCTGGGTACCCTGCCCCGCCCTGTCCAGATTTTCTTTTTTATTTCTTTTTTTTAGTTTGTTTGTTTTTGTCTGTTTTAAAATTACTAATATTATTATTACTTCTGCCCTTTTTATTATCATTCCTTATTCTTCCCTTCCCAGGTTCTAGTTTTCACCTATTTTTCTTTTCCCTGTTCCTGATTCCAATTTTTTTTTTTTTCTTTCTTATGGGTAACCCAATTCTTTGTTTTTCTTCTTGCATTTTTCCTTTTTTTTCTTATTATTCTCCCTCTCTAATTTTTTTCTCTTATTGCCCTCTCCCTAGATATTGTGGTGCCTTTTGTTTTGTTTTGTTATTGTTTTTTTCTCTTTTCTGGTTACTGTTCCTGTGTGAATACATGGTGTGTTTTTTTGTCCATTTGCTTTTACTCTTTTGATGGTTATTCAATTGCTATTTTTGTCTAACTGAGTGGGAGACAGCAACAGTCCCAATATGGCATAACTACACCCACACCTCCTGCAGCTTCACTTACTGAGTGAGAGTCACCACCTCCTTCCCCACCAAAAGACCTATGATAAACAGCCACCAAGAAAAACCTAACTCACCCTTAGCTGCTCTTCACAAACAGTTAATAAAGACCTAAATACAACAACATCACAACATCTCAGAGATTACAGACCATAACAGTCCACACAAAGAAGTAAGATAAAGTGTTAGAAACAAGAGAGCAGGATACGGACCCAGAACACATCTCTGAGGAAGACACAGCATTGGAACTCCCTGATAAGGAATTCAAAAGAATTATATTCAGGTATCTTCAAAGGATTGAGAGACAGATCAAGGAAAACTCAGACAAATCCCTACAAGAAATTTGAAAGGAAATACAAGAATAAAATAACAAAACAAATAAAAAATTAAAAATGATTCAAAATCTACAGATAGAAATCCAGAAGATTAATACTAAATTGTCAGAAATAGATAACACATCGAAAGAGCAAAGGAGTAGAATTGATAAATGGAAGACAGAATTAATGAGA